TGGAAGTCCCATCTGTACCCACAGGCCACGTTGAGCCAGGTTCCTGCCAGGCCCCTTACCTCCTGCTAGAACAACCCGACAACCCCAAAGATGGCAGCCTGGAAAAGTAAGTGTTTAATAGGAAGGTTTGCTCTTTATTTTTTTTTTTTTTTTCAGGCTCCCAACAACACTGGTTCCGTACGGTGCAGGATCGATCTTAATTACTGTCCATGTGGGATTTTTTTTTTTGTGGCTTTTTTCCCAGTGAAGAAAACATTAATGAGAAACTTTAAAGGCTTGTTAAGAGTGTCCTCTCATCAATCAGAGGCTGTCAGGCGGCCTCCGCTGTCAATTTGCACTTCACTGCCCACCGTCCACTTCCTACTTCCTGGTCCGCTCCCCGCCCCCGCCGCAGACCTCGCTCGGAGCAGCCCTGGGTGACGGAGCCCAGACATGCTCCATCTGTCAACAGCCGGAGCCTCGGGGTCCCGAGGATTCTGGATGCCCACCATTGGGCACCTCGAGACATGGCAGGACCTGCAGTTTCTCCAGCTCTGGCCCTGGCTTTTGACTGCTGCCTCCCCCCGGCTGAACACAGACAGCCAGACGGACGCTGCTGGACAGAGCCTTCCGCGGAGTCCCATTGCAATGTGTCTTTTGAACTGATAAGTAAAATTGATGTGAACTTCAGCTTTTTTTTCTTTAAAGAGATAGGAGCTCTGCTGTACAGTCCAGACTGGCTTTGAACTAATGACCCTCCTGCCTCAGCTTCCTGAGGAGCAGGGACTCCTTCCGCGCACCTCCTGGCTTGGCTGACTCCAGCTTCTGGGATGAACACTTTTAACCAAATGCCTGTGATCAAGAAAGGAAAATTTCAGACCGCCCAATGGAGGCTAAACAAATGTAACCTCCCTCCCGAGGCCCAGCACCAGAGCGGCACGGACACGCACTCCTGGGACCAGAGACCCAGTGAGTGCCAGCTGGCAGCTGTGAGCATGGGCATCGCGTCCCTGCTGGACTTGTAGTAGGAAAATCTTTAAAATGGACTCCTCACGCCCCAGCTCCACGTGTAGCCAGCCCGTGGCTCTGAAGCCTCCGCTAAGGTGTTTGAGACCCACACAGCTCTGGGATCCTAACCGGCTCAGCACGAGGATGAGCAGCCGTACACCAATTCCGCCGTGCCTTCCTGCCTGTTTGGAGTGGCTGGTGCGCGCTGGCAGCCAGGCGCGCAGTCACAGGTGGCGCGGGTGGCTGCTGTTGGGTGGGATGGTGGCCGGCGGGCCCGTGCTGCCCGGGACCAGCGCTGTGAATCTACCGGACTCGGGGTGAGATTGTCTGACCCCTGTGATCGTCCGACCCCCGCCAGCCAGGCTGATCGCATGCACTGCGGGTCCTGAGCAACCTGCTTCTTGGTGTGGACGTTCCTAGGAAGAATGTTCTGGAGATGGCTGATGCTCGCACTAGTTGAGACAGAAGGAGGTGGATTCAGTCTGAACCTAGCCACATAGGATGCCCGCGGCCCTCAGAACCCCCCAGGGAGCTGGGTGACCCAGCCGGCACCAGGGGGGACCGGGAGAGGAGACGCTGGTGTCACCAGGCTCCTTGGCATGGGTTGGGCCCCGGGGGGGTCTGGGAAGCGGTCTCTGCAGTGTGAAGAGACTAGATGACCTGAATCCATGATCAACAGGTGGCCGCATGTCCCCTGCTGCGGGCCACGGGATCCACGGCTTCTACAACCGTGACAGCGCCACGCCACACCCTACAGCTCCTTCCCGGCCTTCTCCATGGTTCTGGCCCCCTCCCGTTCCCCCTCCCCCCGCCAACGTACCAGCCACACCTGCGGACGCAGCCCTCCGCCGTGGGTGCGAAGAGCCAGACTTAGGCTGAGTCACCAGATCACTGACATAGTCACTGGACTGGCACGAGTGGGTGGCACGTGTCCCTTTGGGGCAGTCCTGAGACCAGCACACTCCCCCCCCCCCCCCCCAGACACGGCCAAGGGCATCTGTCCTGGTGACAACCCACAGTGGCTGAGTCCTTTGTCACCTGGCCTCTGGAAGTGGAGATGATGGAAGTGGAGATGTGTGTGTGTGTGTGTGTGCGCCACAGTGTAGCAGCGGCTGAGGCGGCACAGGCTTGTGTGTCGGCGTTCAAAGCACCACAGCACAGGACCCGACCGGTGAGGAGACCTGGGCCTAAGGCCAAAGAACACAGCCTTCTTGCTTCGACATTTCTTTTTATTTGGACAATACTGGGTAATTCTTTCTGCCTTTCCACGGCTGTGCGGGAGCGCGTGTGGGAGTGGCTGCTGGCGGCGTGCGGCATGCGTCCTTGCAGCGGTGCACGGCGGCTCTGCCAGTGGCCACCCGCACGCTGCGTGGACGGGGCGTTTGCGTGGCTTCAAGGGCAAGGTCTACACAGGGTTGTGTGGCTCCATCCCCACAACGCTGGCTTTAGGGTCAGTGCCCTGACCACCTGGGCCCACCCACCCGGGAGGCTTGGCCCTGGCCAGCTGCGGTTCCAGCCCCTGAGAGCCTGCCCGTGTTGGAAATGCAGAGGTTGCGGGATGCGTGGTGCAGGGGAGCCTGGGTGCCCGGCACAGGCGCGAACGCGGGTGAGGTCAGCTGCAGGACCTGCTCAGGTCCGCCTGCTGTGGCCCTCAGGCTCCTGAGGCCGGGTGGAGGCCGGGGTCGTCCCTCCCCTCCGCACGCTGCGGACACAGCGCCCTCTGTTGGAAGGCGTGCGTGCAGGGCCCTGAGCCAGGACTCCATACACTTCCTGCTCACTGACAAAGGCAGCAGGCAGCATCATGGGCACCCCATCAGCTCCACGGCACACGGCCGGGTGTGCCGGGCACCCATCAGCTCCACGGCACACGGCCGGGTGTGCCGGGCACCCTGGCTGCGCCATGGCCGAGGGAGCTGTCCACTCTCGGCGACAGAGGCCAGAGAATGCGCAGAAGCAGGAGGGCAGGCGGCGGTGTGCGGTGACGCACCCCCAGGCTCCGGGCACATCTGTGTGACCTGACCCCCAACACCCACCTCCCCTCCGGCCGGAGAACGGCCAAACTCAGGGGACAGCATGGGGACAGTGGTGCCACTTTATATTGGGGCACAATATCTAGAATTAGCTGGGCCGATGTACAGGGACAGAAAAGGTAGGTGAGGGAGGAAGGCCTGAGCTGTGCTAGGCTGGGGCTGAGAGGCATCGCCACGCCCCAACAAACCCAGCCGCGGTGAGGCTGCATGGCCGCCCAGGTGTCACCGCACGCCACCGGAGCTCCTGTGCTGGCTGAGGTGCCACAGAGAAGCCATGGTAAAAACAATCCTGGTTGCTGCTGCGGGCAGTCTGAGGGCACCGCAGGGGGGGTGTGCGGGGAGAGGATGCTGGAGGGGGGACGATACCGAAGTATATAGAATCTGTGAATCAAGATGGCAAAATAAAGTTTACTGAAGGCCGTACACAGGAGGGGGTGGTGGGGGGAGAAGTCGGTCAGGTAGAGCACAGCGGGGTGTGAAATACCGCCGTGGACCCCTGCGCATCCACACATTCAGGCTCACACTGGAATCCTAGCTACTCAGGAGGCTGAGATCTGAAGACCCAGGTTCAAAGCCAGCCCAGACAGAAAAGTCTTCATATTCTTACCTCCACTTAACTAGCAAAAAATGGGAAATGCAGCTGTGGCTCAAGTGGCAGTGCTTCAGCTTTAAGTGACAGAGCTGAGGGACCGTGCCCAGTCCCTGAGTTCAAGCTCTAGCATTGTTACACGCACACGCATGCACACACACATTAAAAGAACTAATGACAGTAATGTAACACAGGTCCTGTCCAGGACAGGTTACAGGTGGGAGGTGGGAGGGGATGGAAGAGGTGAAGGAGGGTGAATACGGTCAAATTACTGCAGACACGTGCGAAAAAGGAAGAATGGAGGTTGTGAAGGGGTGGGGGAGGGGGAGGGGGCGACTGATCAGGGTACCTCAGTCCTACGCATTTATAGCTATGTCAGAAGGCACAGTTCCTTGTACAACCAGTTGATGCTAACTTAAAACCGGGAGAGGTAGAAACCCCGTAGCTTCGTGCTGCAGCTGGTGGTTCATTTCCTCACAAACACATAGCTCCACGCTTCATGTTCGCATTTGGGTGTGGTTGTTTTATTCTGTATCAGGACCAGGGCTTGAACCCAGGGTCCTGCCTTCTGACGTGAGCTCAGCTTTCTCGCTCAAGGCTGGCGTCCTGCTACTTGAGTCAGAAGTGTCACATTTGGCTACAGTCGCGATGCTGAGAGGAGCCTGAGCTGACCCTCCCTTGGCCTGGGGCCTGCAGGTTTGATTGACATGGGGCGGGGCTAGGCTCAGACCCTTGTCGCCTGGACCCCACGGGAGTCACGTTTCTCCCACCTGTTGCCCAGAGCACGCTAAGCTAAGGTGAGCCAGAGAGGCTGGGATTGGAGGAGTGTGCCCAGAAAGGTGCCAAACCCACTTCCTGAGAGCAAGGCGACATCCCAAATCTTTTTTGGGGGAAAATGTTTGTTTTGAGCCCCACTAGGGCAGACCATAGCCAGTGCAGGATACCTTTCTGGTAATGGAAAGCACAGGCAAGAATGGGGGGCTCCCCCGGGCACCTCTTTTTCAGCCCTCCCTTCTCCTTCAGCCAGCTGGGGTGTGGGATGTTAGAGACCTAACCTGTAGCATCATCTGAGCCTGGCAATTGTCTAGGAGGGAGGGAAGAGTGAGAATGGGCCCCTGCAGGGGTGGGGTGGGAAGTTCAGGATGGATGGATGGACGGACGGATGGATGGGTGGATGAGGGTGTGCAGCCGTTGCCCGCAGGGGCCAGATGCTCCTTGTTTCCTGAGTGGGGAAGGCAAGGCTCACCCAGCTTTCCCCGCGCTCTCGTCCCTGGTTTAATGGACATTAAAAATGGAACAATGAGTGTGTTGGAGAAGGGAGCGGACGACACACAGCAGGGCTGGTCGTCTGAACTCATTCTGCTGTAAAATGTAGAAACAAGGAAGGGCAGGCGCGCTGTGTCCCCCGGGATGCATCGGGCTCTTTTAATATAGTGGTGCCACCACACGCTCTGCTTCGGAGGCGGCGTTACATTTACTTCGAAGCCACACACTCAATTTCGGCCGGTGCGCTGGGAGCCGGTGGGGCCAGGGCGGCCGGATGCCAGGGCCCCGACGCCGCTCCCTCAGCCTGGCCTGCCTGCCAGGATGCCTTCGTGGGCCAGGAGCCACTGCTTCACCGCACGCCCTCCGCCTGAGTAGTTGCCCAGGGCCCCGCTGCTGCAGATCACTCTGTGACACGGGATGAGGATGGGGACCTGAAAAACAGATGGCAGCTCTGTCACTCTGCTCCGGGCCAGCATGACCCGGGTGTGGAGAGCCAAGGCCCACCACCCAGCGCCTCACAGGCTTGTGGGCCACTGCGGGCTGAGCGATGATCGCTCCCCCCCTCGCTCCCCCCCGCGGGTCCCTGGAGGCGGGACGTCTGTCCTGACATCACATCACAGCGTGCGCGTGGGCCTCTTCCAGTAAAGAGTCCTCTTTACTCCAAGATTTGGAGGGAATCCCCTCCAAATAATTCCCTCCAAGAAGTAATCTCTGGTCCATACTTTCACACAACCGGGATGGAATGGGTTGGAACCTTCCTGGATGTGGTAACCAGAGGCATCAAGGACGGGGGACCCATGGAGGCCACGTCCGGCACCATGAGTTGGCCAGTTGCACTCTCTGGTTTTTAAATAAAGTTTTATCGGAACAGAGCCATGTCTTTGGTTATGAATTATCTGTGGATGCTTTACCAAAGCCTTAATCCCCCCTGGCTCCTCCCAGGGAAGCCGAACCCTCTGCAGCCTGCTTTCCCTCTCCCCTTCTGGGAGACTGGAGGTGTCTGAGAGGCAGCAGCCTCCACCAGTCCCACCAGAAGCCTGTACTGCCGGCCCACCCGGAGCAAGTCCGTGTGTGTGTGTGTGTGTGGTGTGTGTGTGTGTGTGTGTGTGTGTGTGTGTGGTCAGTCCATCCCAGCAAGTCCCAGGCTTCTGTCTGCCCCTTCATCTAAAGAGTTTACTGAGTATTGAAGTTCTTACACTACTAGCAGGCTGATTGATTTAAGAGAGGGGATTCCCAGGGGGCACGGCCACCCACAGCTGGCTGTCAGAGGGCTCTGTGTGGGGACACAGTCAGGAAGAAGGGCCATCTCACCAAACACATCTGCAGCAGAAAATGGCATCCCACTGACCCCCATTCCAGAGAGTCCCAACTGCAGCTATCTCTACTTTTCTTTTTTTTTTTTTTGCTCAAGGCTAGTACTTTACCACTTTGAGCCAGCGCCACTCGGGTAGGTGTTTCTGCTAACCGATGTGGCCAGAGAGAGGCCGGAGGCATAGCCCTGCACAGCACCCAGACAGGCCCGTGCGGACTTGCGGCTGACGCTCCTGATTCAAAGGTCTGCATGCCCAGGGTTGGATTTTAGCATGCAGTACACGGGGCTCCTGCAGCCACAAGGCCCACGGTCCTGTCCAGCCTCCTCCCTGGGCCCCTAGCCACGGGGAGGCAGGAAAGCCTGCCCTCCGCAGGGGGTGGGCCCTGCTTCCTGCCGAGGCTAAGAATGGCTGGCCCCAGAGCACCAGCACCACGGCCAGTCTGCGCCTCTGTATTCAGCCTGGAGCAGCTCACAGAGAGAACATTATTTGCACCTTTTCTGAACCAACCTCTGCTTCCAGGTGAGTTTGGTGGCAGGTTCCTGACCACTAGAACAGCGAACTCCACTAAAATCCAGAGGACGTCCCCAGTGAGCCCCCCCAACCCCCTCCCCGCAAAGCCTGTGCGATTTGTATCAATAACCTAAAAGCCCATGCGATCACAGCCGTGAAATCAGATTGAGCCAGGCCACGGATCCATCGCTGGCGCAGGCCCTTTCTCAAAAGCTATAAAACTTCCAGACCCATAGATTGGTCTCCAGCAAAAATAACATGAAGGAGCCTTTCAATCAATAATGGAATCCCTCTGATTCTGGAACCGGCCACATATTTTTTCCAGCTCCGCCTTTGTTCTTCTGGGCAGAGCCCACGAGGGAAAAAGCTTGTTTTCACTCGCAGCCTCATCAATACCTAAATCCTGGCGAACAAGTGACACCGAGAAGCTGTAATCAATAGCTCCCTGTGCGTTTTTTTCTTCTGGTCAAATGGTTCAGCTCCGCTGACAACCCTGACACTCAGAACATGAGGCTAAATCTTCATCAACAGCCGTCTGGGTGACCAGCGAGGCTCAGGGCCACAGTGCTCACGGCACCACAGATAAACTCTCTTCTCAGGAAGGCGGATGCTTAGAAAAAGGGGGGGAACACTCTGTGCACGTATTGATTGCTTATGCACCGCACTTAGCAGATTCTGTTCCAGGAGTAAGTGGAAAGGGTGCTCTGTGTGTGTGTGTGTACATAACTATGTGTATATGTGTACATGTGTATGTGTATATATGTATATACATGAGTATGTGTATATGTGTATGTATGTGTATACATGTGTATGTGTATACATGTATATGAGTGCATAGGTGTGTGTGTGCATGTGTACATGAGTATGTGCATATATGTGTGTACATGAGCAGGTGTTATGTATGTGGATGTAGGTGTGTATACATGCATATGTGTATGTGTGTATATATATGTGTGTGCGTGCATGAGTATGTGTATATGTGCGCGTGTGCGCACACATGAGTGCATGTCTCTGATTCAAAGGGGCCGGCAGCCTGTCAGGTGGGGCACAGTCTTCTGGAGACTACTTGACTTCACTTAGAGAAGTCAGGAGAAATCAAGATCTAGGATGGAGAAGAAGGTGCGCCCTGTAGAACCTGCCTTCTACTCTGGAGGGGCCACAGGTGGAGGCAAAGGCCACAGGGTGATGTGTGCCAACATTCACCCTTGGAATTGGTGCAGGCCGAGCTCTGGGAGTTGGCCACCCTCTACTTTCCCTGCTTAAGTGCACAGCCGCTCTCCTCAGCCCGAGCGTGGAGATGCTTTCTGTGAGGCTGTCTCGGGGAGGCCTGAGGGGCAGCGGTGGTGTGGGCCGGCCTCTGGGGGGGCCCTGCTGCCGGCCTTGGCAGGAGACTCTCTCGGAGGATGTGGAGGCCAGACTCCACCCAGGGCCCTTCCTCCCTCAGGCGCATGAACCACCTTTGACTCTTCTAGCTCACTCAGGGCTGGATGCCGTCCAGCCCAGCTGTTGTACAAGGGACAAAGGTGACACAGGCCATCGGTGCAAGGATCCACGGCAGCACATCTGCTGTGGACACCATCTGCTCCGGTGGAGGCCAGCACAGCGCCAAAGCCACAGAAAGGCCGTGGAAGGACAGGGCCCCTTGGTGCTGCCACAGGCCTAGCAAGGACCTGGGCTGAGGGCGGCCGCTGAGCCTGCCTTCCCGAGGTCCTCACCACAGGGGTCCGAGGCTCCTCGGGACTGAATGGGGCGCCGCCAATCTTGTGACTGAAAGTTCAAAACTCTGTGAGGCCTATTTTATAAATTCCAGCAGCCGGGGCTGGATCTGAACAGAGACATCGGCAGGGACGAATAGATGTGCTTGCTGTTCCCCACGGCGGGCTGGACTGGCCAGGGCACCATGGTCAACCCCCTCCCAGGGCTGAAGATGAAAATCACGTCCCAAGAGACGCTGCATGGAGGCCGAGGGCCCGGCTGCCGGCGCCCCGGTTCTCCCCGCGTGGCCTGGCCCAGGCGTGGTGTGTGGCAGCCGTCTGCTGCCTCAAACCTGGTCACCCCCTCGCAGGGGAGGACGCTGGCCTGCCAGAGGGCAGCACAACACGGAGTCTTGGGACCCTCCAGAGATTTGGTCTTGGAATTCTGCATCCCAGGATGTGATGAGCAGACTGCGTTCTACCGCGTTCCACACCGGTGTTGCTTCAGGAAGGAACCATCACAACGCTGCAGCGCTCCGCAGCGGCAGCACAAGGGGGGCTGAGCGTGTGCAGGCCTTGTGACAGGCCCGTGGACCGACCCTTCTTCCTGCAGGGTCCATCGGCACACAGGGCCTCGGCCTGGCCTGCACCCCACCACGCATGATTTCCTGGCTCACCTTGGATGATGGGGTGGCATCAGGGAGCCCAGGGGCCTGCTGTGCTAGCAGGACACGGGTCAGCCTCTGGCCTGCTTGTCCACAGGAGCACGGCCTATCCCTGGGGAGCACTCCCTGTCCCTGGGGAGCACTCCCTGTCCCTGAGGAGCACTCCCTGTCCCTGGAGAGCATGGCCTGTCCCTGGGGAGCACTCCCTGTCCCTGGAGAGCACTCCCTGTCCCTGGGGAGCACTCCCTGTCCCTGAGGAGCACTCCCTGTCCCTGGGGAGCACTCCCTGTCCCTGGGGAGCATGGCCTGTCCCTGGAGAGCACTCCCTGTCCCTGGGGAGCACGGCCTGTCCCTGGAGAGCACTCCCTGGCCCTGGGGAGCACGGCCTGTCCCTGAGGAGCACGGCCTGTCCCTGGGGAGCACTCCCTGTCCCTGGGGAGCATGGCCTATCCCTGGAGAGCACTCCCTGTCCCTGGGGAGCACTCCCTGTCCCTGGAGAGCATGGCCTGTCCCTGGAGAGCACTCCCTGTCCCTGGGGAGCACGGCCTGTCCCTGAGGAGCACTCCCTGTCCCTGGGGAGCACTCCCTGTCCCTGGGGAGCACGGCCTGTCCCTGGGGAGCACTCCCTGTCCCTGGGGAGCACGGCCTGTCCCTGGGGAGCACTCCCTGTCCCTGGGGAGCACGGCCTGTCCCTGGGGAGCATGGCCTGTCCCTGGGGAGCACTCCCTGTCCCTGGGGAGCACGGCCTGTCCCTGGGGAGCACGGCCTGTCCCTGAGGAGCACTCCCTGGCCCTGGGGAGCACAGCCTGGCCCTGGGGAGCACGGCCTGTCCCTGGAGAGCACTCCCTGGCCCTGGGGAGCACTCCCTGGCCCTGAGGAGCACTCCCTGGCCCTGGGGAGCACAGCCTGGCCCTGGGGAGCACTCCCTGTCCCTGGGGAGCACTCCCTGTCCCTGGGGAGCACTCCCTGGCCCTGGGGAGCACTCCCTGTCCCTGGGGAGCACGGCCTGTCCCTGGGGAGCACTCCCTGGCCCTGGGGAGCGCGGCCTGTCCCTGGGGAGCACTCCCTGTCCCTGGGGAGCACTCCCTGGCCCTGGGGAGCACGGCCTGTCCCTGGGGAGCACTCCCTGGCCCTGGGGAGCACGGCCTGTCCCTGGAGAGCACTCCCTGGCCCTGGGGAGCACGGCCTGTCCCTGGGGAGCACTCCCTGTCCCTGGGACCATGACCTGTCCCTGGGGACTGAAGAGCTCTGGGGGAGGAGCTGGCCCTGGTGAGGCTCTCAGTACTGTGAGTCACGTGTGTGGTTGGACGTCTGTGAGCCGTTCATGCCACTGGATGGTGACAGGGCTCTGGAGACCAGGGAACCCAGGCCTTCAGGACAGAACGCAGCTCCCAAGGGATGGGGCTGCTGGCTTCACACCTGACCCCACACAGCTCCGCACAGCTGGGCCTCTGCCTGCCACACTTCCTACTGGGTGCCTGGTACCACACCGCAGACACCGGTGCATCCGCCGCCCTGGGGGGGAGGGGCACGCGTGCGTGTGAGCTGGTCCACTCGGGCCTCCTGGGGGAGGGGCATGCATGTGCATGAGCTGGTCCACTCGGGCCTCTGGGGGGAGGGGCATGCATGCGCGAGAGCTGGTCCACTCGGGCCTCTGGGGGGAGGGGCATGCGTCTGTGTGAGATGGTCCACTTGGGCCTCTGGGGGGAGGGGCATGCGTGCGCGAGAGCTGGTCCACTCGGGCCTCTGGGGGAGGGGCATGCGTGCGCGAGAGCTGGTCCACTCGGGCCTCTGGGGGAGGGGCATGCGTGCGTGTGAGCTGGTCCACTCGGGTCTCTGGGCTTTGTTCTCCTCCTGCGCGCGGCAGCCGGGCGCACCCGCAGCTGTGGCGTGACGGTCCCCAGTGCAGACCTGGTGCTTGGCCCGGGCTGCACACGCTTCCGGGGACACACATTTAATCCAATGACACTTGGCCCGCATGGCGCAGATCGGATTGGAGGCCCAGCCCACAGCCGCCAGCCTGGGGCTCTGCAGAACTCACCGGATTGCTTCTCATTGCTCCCCCCACAGCGCGGGCGGCCTTGGGGTTGCCTGCCAAGGCCGCTAATTGTTGGTAAGAAACCATTTCTCCGAATTTCACAACCTTCAGCAGCTTCCACAGCACCCGTCTGGTGAAGGAGTCTGAAAGGAAGAACAGAGCGATGCTCTTCGGACAAACAGTCCGCACTGCTCCGCTAGAGACAGCGGCCAGCCCCAGAGAAGACACAACCACACAAATGGAGCCGTCAGACGCAATGAAAACACGGCCCTCCGGCCGCGGGAGAGGAGCGGGCGCGGCGCGGGCCGGCAGCTCCCCCAGGCTCCCAGGCCTGCCGTTCTTGCTGCCCTCCCGGCTCCCACGCAGGACCCAGTGGGCTGCCCTTCCCAGAAGGCAGCTCAGCCAGTCCAGGCATCCCTCTCTGCCCAACTGTGGGGAAGGCTCCGGGGTTGGGGTGCAGTTCTACCTTGCGCGGGGACACGGAAGCAGAGTGGATGCCTGGCAGTGAGGACCATGGTCCCAGTGTGGCTCTGACTGCCGGACACCACCACGGCGTGTGGCCCTGTCCCCCAAATTAAACTAACCTCCTCCTGTGTGCGGTGAGCCTGTGTGCACCGAGTCTCAGGTGCTCTGGGTCTGGCTGCAGGAAGGATGAGGGGGGACTGTCAGGACCACTGCCTCCTACCCCTGGGTTCGAGAACTCTCTCCATGGTAGTGTGCTGAGCTGACGCGACTCCTCCCACCAGAGAGAACACACTGCCCGGGGACACTGAGCCACAGCCTCGTCCTCCTCGGTGCTCCGCCACTCAGAGCAGAAGTTTCTACAAGGCAACCACAGGAGGCCTGGTGCTCCCCGGCACCGCGAGAGTGCTCAGCACACCCCAGGCCAGGCTGGCAAAATGTGATTTGGTTTTTATAGGAAACGCCCTTACATTTTAAATAATAAAAATCACTTCTTCACGGAGGGGAACGATAATCACTTCAGTGGGGGAAAAATCTGTTTAGTCTTTATTATAACATTAAGCAAATTAAACATCAGCATAATCCAGGTGATACCAGAAAAGGGTCATCAAAGAAATTAACTTTGTTGTTCATTAATTTACATGGATTAGTAGAGGGCAAAAAGATGGCAAATGTGCTCTAGTTTTTTATGATATAATTTCAAACTGTACACCGTTTGTGGCGGGGTTGACTTGGGGGTTAATCAGACTGATTTGTCCTTTTAATTGCTTTCTATTCAAAGAAAATTCATTAGATAATGTTCTCTTCAAAATTCATGAATCAATTTAACTGAAGAAACCGCATTAACAGCTCGGGGTTCATTAGCACAGGGTTGTGAGTGCTGAGGACCGGGAGGGGCTCTGTGGGCAAACAGACTCTGTTTACCATCTTGTCTTCAGGAAGGGGCCAGCCTCAGTGTTAACCACGACTGCCTAGAACAAGGGAAGGGAAGGAGGAGGGAGAGGCAGGAGGCCCACTGGAGTCAAGGTAGAAAGTGGAGGGTTCATGTGGGCAGAGATGGTGAACCCAGTCCCGGAGGCTGGGAGACATAGAGGCCCGGCTCTGCCTTCCTCGCACGGCAGAGTTTGGTGGCTTTGGTCCAGCCAGAGGATGCGGCCTGGAGTCTGAACACCCTGGAGCCTCTCAGAATCCATCACAAGGATGGCTGGAGCGGCGACTGGAGTGACAGGGCTGACAAACACTGACCCCGCCGCGGCTCAGCCGTGCACGTGGCTCTGAGCGTGACCGCCCAGTCACCACCTCCCTCCAGGAGGAAATGCGTCATGAAGCAGAACACTGCGTGTCTGTGCATTGCACACAGTGCACCCGCCATGTTGGGGACCTGCATCCTAACTGGTACACACCGCACCGGACGCTGGGCAGCATGGCTGCGAGAAGCAGGGTGACGCCAGCAAGCACATCATTTGACTAATGTGTCTGAAAACCTGTTTCACCGGGTAGGGAGCAAATGCCTTCATCAGTGTGAGTAGCTCTCAGACAACACCTCCAGCCTCCAAGTGTGCACACTCACACCACCACGGCCGTTGACACTACAGGCAAGGTGGTCTTGGGGCTCAAGGAAATCTGCCCTTAAAAGTTCTCCAGTGTTTGTCCGTAGCTCAGTGGAAGGGCATCTGCCTAGCAGACCCAAGGCCCTGAGTTCGGTCCTAAGCAACACACATACACACACATTTCCATCTTAATAAGTTATTGCTTACAATTAAATAAACATTACAAAATAAATAAGGCCCACAAAGAAGGGAAACCCAGTTTCTTGTAGTTGAAGTAAGCTCATGGATCCTGAGGGGCTGGCCCCGAGTTACCCCTGAGATACTGCCCTCCTCCAAAATGGACCCACCCAGGGCTGTGGGAAGAGCTGCCACAGGCCACATTCTGCATTTCTTTTTGTCATCTCTCCTTCTTTGCTTTCCCGAGCCAGCCTTTCTCTGGCCTGCTCCCGAGGCCTTTGTAGCTTGGCTGTGCTGACCCAACTGGGTTCATGGCGAGTTCTGCGGGAGGCTCAGTTTGGCTCTGAATCCCCCATCAGGAGGTCATGGCTTGAGTAGCTGAGACACAGACGCCTGCAGACACTTGGCCAATAGCTGACTTTCTTTCTTGGATTGCTCATCATTACCCACGAGGCCAGATGCTGTTTCTCTGGAAGAAAAGCTGAGAAGGATCCTGTGGATGTGCGAGACAAAGACGAAAGATCTGGTGTTCGCCAGCGTGTGACTTCCATAGAAGAAAAAGCGTGCTGTACAAGAACATACAACTACACACCCCAACTGCAAGCAGGGCACACCCAAGGAAGTCCAGAGAGCGGGTCTTGGGGACGCCTCTAGAGAAAAGATAGAGGGGCGGAGGGGGCTGCGGGGCAAAGGCAGGGCAGAGGCCGCGGCCGCGCTCTGCCCGTTCTGAGGGAATATCTGAGTGAGGACTGACCTGAAAGACATTTCCAGATGAAAAGAAGAGTGGAGAAAATATGCTGTCCATGGTCCCACTTCAGAAGAGAGACAGAAGGTCCTCAGAGAGGAGGGAGGTGAAGTCACAGAGGAGCGGCCGGGCCACTGCTGCTCGAGCAGCGCGGAAGATGGGCCAGGGCGAGAGCCCCGGCCTCTCCCCGCTTTTGGTGGCACTAAGTAAGAAGTACTGACAGATGTAAAGATATGTTCCCAAGGTAAGTTGTGTGAGATTTACGGAGGTATATCCATGAGAGGAAGCTGTCCCTACAAGAGACTCGGTGTAATGTGTCCCCACCATCTGACCCGGACCCAGAACTTCCCGTACCAGCGCTTCAGTTCATTCTATGGAATGAATGGTAAGAGATTTCTACACTGTAGTCAAAGCAGAGAAATACTGATTTCTTGTTTGATTGTGGAAATAAGTAAGTTAATTCCTGATTTAAAAAAAAACACGGATACTAATCCTACTGCATTCTATAGAGCAAAAACCATAAAAAAAGATGGTAAAAAATATCCCACAGGATATAACTGCTCTAGCTGGTAAAACAGGGCAAAAGAGGAAGGAAGGGGGCATAGAGAACAAAGAAGAGAGGGAACAAACGCGCGGCAAGTGTTTTGCATTAACAACTGCACAGTGTGGAAATGTACCAAGCACACCCCTGGCAAGATGGGCTATGCCGACAGGGGTAAAAAATGACCAGGTGCTGTCTACAAAGAAATCCACCTCAAATAACAGACGTGGATAGGTTAAAAGACAATTCTAAAGCAAAGACAGTTAATCTAACACAAAATAGACTTAAGAACAAAGTAAATCCCACGGTAACGCACTCTGAAAAGACAATATACCAATTCCAAGCATTTATGTTCCTAACAACAAAGTTTCCAAATACATGAGGCAAAATCTGACAAAGTGAAGGGACAGTGAGAGAAACCCACTCTTAGCCTTGGACACTTCGTCAGTAATCGATAGGATGAGTTGGCATAAAATCAACAAGGATAAACAACTGACTGGATCTAACAGACTGACTTTAGGCCATGCTGCCTAAGGCAAGCAGACACAAGATCAAGTGCGTGGGGAACCACTGACGAGGCTGTGATCTGAGCCAGGAAGGAAGCCCGCGCACACATGATGCTTCTGGTCCTAGGGAGTCGGACGAGGAATGACACAAAAGATAGCGGGAAGTCAGATGTGGTGGCACGCATCTGCAACCTCAGCTGGGGCAGGAGAACTGGGGTTTGAGTCAACACTGGGTCTCTTGGCACGTCCTTGTCGCAAAGACAGGGGGAACTTTTCCAAACATTTGGGCAGCAAAGAAGCCACTTTTGAATAAGCAGCGGGAAAGAGAAGGCCTGAAACTTAAAAATACATTGAACAGGGCGGAAATGAAAGCAGAACTAAAAACCACAAAAAGCTTTATGCAACACAGCTAAAGCAGTACTTCGAGGGAAATTTATAGTGTTAAATATTTGAGTTAGAGGAGAAAGGATTCGATAAGACACCATCTTCGGAAAGAAGAGGGCTGGGGGCGTGGCTCAAGTGGTAGAGCTGCTCCTTAGTATGCACAAAGACATGAGTTTAACCCCAGGATCACACCAAAACCAATAACAAAAACCTAAAAGAAAAAAACCCAAACAGAAGAACAAACAAAAATTCTCATGAAAACAAAATGGTGGGTGGAGAGGGAGGGAAGGAGAGAGAGAAGAAAGGAGGGAGAGAGACACAGAAAGAGAGAGAGAGAGAGAGGGAGAGAATAAAACAAACCCCAGGGGGAAACAAAGGAGGAGGCAACAATGCTTGATAAGAAATGTACTCATTACCTTGCCCATGTAATTGTAACCCTTCTGTATGGTATTTTCACAATAAAAAAATTATTAATAAAAAAGAAAAAAAACCCCAAACAGCCTAAAAGAAGAAAATACTAGGGAAATCAATGAAAAGGAAAGAAGGAAAAATAGTGAAACTAAAAAATGAATTCCTTGAAACAGTCAATAAGATTGATGAATCTCGAGCAACTCTGACAGGGAGCAGAGGTGTGGTGAGAGAAACGAGGTATTTCTACGAATGACTTCCCACACAGTCCGACTGTCAAAAACTACAAACCACCAAATTCTGGTATGCTTCATTCCTTAATAGGATATCACACACCGTTCATTCCACTTGTGAAAACAACAAGAAAGTG